CCCTCCACCCACCCCCCTAAGAGAGAACATTATCTATCATTTTAAGGTGTAGTCACAATTACTTAGCATAACAATGGGAGAAATTCCACAGAAAGAAAAGGGAAGCAGTCAACCCCCAACATCCTCTTTTCCAGAGATTGTGCTATTGGGATTTGATCCCAAAACACAATAGGAATGGCACAGAAAGTAGAAAACCAGCTGTTCCGTTTTGGATTTCATATGAAATATTTATCCTGATTCTGTTAAAATTATAGGAAAGATGATCTTGGTAGAGGATGAAATCTTGCTTGAAGTGATCAAGTTGTGTGTGTTATTAACAGGCTTTAATAATTTGTACATTAGCATTTACAACCATGTACATATTGCAGGATCCAAAGGCTAGTGAAGCGTCAAAACCCTTGGAATCTCAGCCCGGAGCAGTACCTTTCTTCAATCCTACTAGCCAAAGAAATCCATTCAAAGTGCTAGACAAGAATTGTGCACTGTCATCCTGGAAACAAATGAAGCAAAGAAACGGAGAGGAAAGTAAAGAAAAAGGAGTTAATGCAGAGAATGAGTGTGTGTCGGTGTCACATAAAGAAAAGAAATCAACCTCTGATTCCTCCATAGAGACAGCCCCTCTTGAAGAGCTCAAAAATGAAAAGAAAACATCCACAGGAAGTAAAAGTGACCCAGAACTTCAGGCAATTACAGTGTCTGAATCTAAACTTTGCCTTTCTGAGACCAGGAAAGGGAAAAAGACACTTCCAGAGGAAGAGAAATACGGTGGCAGTGGCAGGGAATCCAAGAATTCTGATTCTGTGGGCAAGGAGCCAGGTGCAAGATCAAAACTCTTGCCACTAAATCTTGGAAAGCAAAGTACAAGTAACAAGCCTCCAGGAGAGGAGCAGCTTGGAGAAAAAAGCTTAAAAAGTTGTAGAGATAACGAAACAAGGGAGAAAGATTGCACTGGTCAGAAAAACGGTGACACGAAGACAGTGTCTAAGGACGATGCCCCTTCCCCAGCAGGAGCACAGTCGGCACCGCAGTGTGCTGCCCTGAGGGGAGGGGCAGAGGCAGAGCTGCTCAAGGCACAGCTCGGACAAGAGCTGCCACAGCCTCCTGGTGAAGCCTCTGGCACTGGCAGTGACAGTGATGAAGTACAATTTGTTTGTTCCTCATCAGGTAAAAGTAAACCTGACAAATCAGTTGAGATTCCTTCAGGAAAATCAGGAAAGAGTATGCAGGGGACATCTTTGCCAGGAGCACCAGCATCACATCACATGGAAGGACCCCAGGACCCTAAAGTGCTTCATAACCATCTTGCAGTCCAGCTGAAACAGAAAAAGGTCATTTATTGCAGCTATTATTTGGGGGGGTTTATTGTTCTGTTTTCAAGGTGACTTCCCTTACTCGTGACAGGCATCAGAATATGGTTTCTCCTCACAGCAGAAACTCAAAATCGGGTTTAAGAAGATGTGGCATGGGAGGGAATTCAGCCTATGTACAGACTGGTTGTATTAAGCAAATAAAAACCAGTTACGTCTAAGGTAATACAGTCTTCTGCCTTTGGGGATGTTCAGTTTTGACCTACCTGAGGTTGTGTCTTGTCCTTTACCCTAAAAGTAATTTGCATAAAATGGAATAATGCACAGCTAGTTTGTAAACCTTTGTAAACAACATGGCTATTTCCAGTAGCCTCTCTTGGCCTTGTGCAATAAGAGTGATCTAGCTATGGAAGCTCACACTCGGGTGAAATAAACTACCTGCCTCTTTGCTTTCTTTTTTCAATAATTGCCAATCACTGTGTTTTACAGTTTTTATTATGAACCCTCTGGTTTCTCGAGAGTTCAGAACAACCTTGAAATAAAGTCAGAACTGTTGCTGGTGCAAGCATAGAAAGGTGGAAATAGGTTAAATGTTGTGGATGTTTTGAGAGATGTTTGTCTGACTCACCTGACTACCTGTTTCATAAAAAAGAGGAGTCTGTGTGTCCTTCCATATTTTCTAAAGAACACTAATGGTTAGTTAGTGTTTCTACTAAAAGACTGTTTAATTGCAGTGAATGGCACTTGAAAGCTTTTGGAGATTACAGAACAGTATCAAAATACAAATCAAAATGGGATAAGATTAGTTCTTCTTAGACTTCTGACCTGATTGTTCTGTGTTGGGAGAGATCTTGGTAACCACACTCAGGTTTTGGTTTCTTTCTTTTTTGCAGAGTACATTGGCTACAGTGAACGTTCAGTTGCTGCCAGATAAAGGGGAACGGTTATTAAAGCAAGTGCAGGATTTGGAAGCTGCACTCAGTGCTCTTAACATTTCAACAGCAGATACAAGTGAAAAAGGTAGGGCTTTTTTTTTTTTTTCTCGGCTCCAGAAGTTTTCAAAACAGTTTGTCTTAAAATGGTTATTAATATGGAGGACATATAGCATAAACTTATATATGGCTTGTGGTCTATAAAACATCTGTTGAGATTTACTGAAGATGAAGAATGTTAATTGGAAAATACATGTCTGGGAGCAGATGAATGGAACAACTCAAATATTTCCTCTATAATATGGTGGCTTCCCAAGGGAGTGTCCTCCCACAATTAGGATCTAGGTTTCCAGCTTTGGCTACATGATTGAGGCAGGTATCTCTATGAGAACATGCAAATGAAGTGTTAGATCCTGCTGTTGCATTCTGGAACTGTGCTGTTCATGCATGCTCTTGTCACTGAATATTCCAGTTACCAGATTAAAAACGAGCAGCTTCCATTGTGCCATTCCTGAGAGAGAAAAGTTCATGAGCTCTTGGCCCATTTATTCCTGGATGTTTCAATAGTTTTTTTGTTCAAAATATTGACAAGAGACATGTCTTCAAAATTAATAAATCATCTGGGAACAGAGTGCAAAATTTGCCTCGTCTGTACTACTCTGATGACAGTTGCAGAGTTCACTGTGTTGCTGTAAAGCACATACTGAGGCAGGAGCTGGACTCCTTGCCTGTCACAGCAGCAGGCCAAGAGCACACGTTGGTAGTTGCAGTGGCTCATGTGATGTGGGAGTCTGCTACTGAACTGGTGTCACCACTTCATAGTATTTTGCAAGCAGACTACTGGGCAAAATGAAGACTTCTCTGGGCTGTAGAGCAAGGCTCTGAGGTTCACTGTGCAACCTTGTCAGCCTGTGATTCCTTTCTCTTTAAGGGCAGGATAGCACAAGCAGCAGCTGCCATGAAGAAGCTTTGTCTAACCCAGTTGGTAGGCCGGGTGGTACAAAGTTGATAATGCCACTCCCGTTCCAGGATCCTACAGCAAAGGCCACTGCAGGCTTACACAGTCACCCCTCAGCTACTGCTACTTTGGGTTCCAGTGGCCAAAGTTTTGGAAGTAAGTATAGAAAGACTTTGTCATTACAGAGGACACTGTTGAATACTATTCTTAAATAATCCTGCAACTTGTGGATACATGCAAGAGTACCTGTTACTGCATACTGTCCCTCAAGCATCTGTAGCCACTGAACTCAATCTCTGAGGTGAAAGATCTATTTGGGAAAATTAGCTCTGTAAACATGTCTCTGGTACTGTATCTTTGCAGTGAGTGTTGGTGTGCAGACTCTGTATGAGGGAAGAATGACTGAAGACCGAATCAGAGCTGTACACAGTGCCACATTTGAGGCTATTAATCATCTTCACAAATCTCTAGAATCCTGTCCAACAGAGGAGACAGCAGCTAAAGATCCCTCTGGACTGAAGGTGGGTTGGCAAGCAGGAAAGTTGTCATGCTGATGAATGAATCATAACTTCTGAGTGGTACCCTAGAGCATTCCTTCCTTCCCACTTTGACCTACTTTGCATCCTGCTGGAAGGAGATGATCTAATTACATTCCATCTGTGTTGTTTGTTCATGACTGGCAGAACAGAGGTGCGAGGAACAGGCTGAGAACCTCATTGTTCATTCTTCCTGGTGAGCTATAAGAAGTAGTATTTCAAAAAAGTGTTGCAGGTGACTGAGTTCATGCAACGTGATGGGCTCCAGAGTAGGTAGTTCTGATCTGTTTGAGGTTATATGCAAGGTATTGGAACAAAGGCACATGCCTCTACAGGATGGTGTGTAGATGCCTGTATGTTGTGTTACTTGTCACATTGTCTTGGGACCTTTTCAGTGGTGGGGAAGGCTACTGAGTGTCCTGTGATGGTAGTATATAGTCCCTCTTCCTGTTTCAAAGTCTGTAGGAGTCTTGGACTAAGTGAGAAAAGGGGAGGTGTTCTCAATCCCTTTCCTTGACAAGGATAGCTATTATAAGCAAGGTAGTCTGGGGTGGATTTTCCAGTTGAACAAGACATCACTGTCTGCTCTCTGAGGGTACTCTGAGGCACTAAGCTGGTTAGTGCAGGCAGCATTAGAAAGACTCCTCCATGGTACTGCTGACCTGTCTTCAGAAGTTGCTTACCTTGGGTATCCCAGCCCGTGTGGAAAGAGCAGGTAGGTAAACTTTTAGTAGGATTGTAGTAAAACAGTTGAACAGGATAATTGGTACAGGAAGCAGAAGTGTCTAAATTTTGCCAGGCATTTCCTTCAAATCCTCTCTCTCATTCACCCCCTCAGGTCCCACTGCTGCAGCACCAGAAACAGGCGCTTGCATGGCTCCTCTGGAGAGAGAATCAGAAGCCGTGTGGAGGAATTCTGGGTGAGCAGCAGAATGGCAATGTGGATTTTGTGGAGCAGATCTATGGCAGCAGAGTTTTGTGTGTAACTTAGCTGGAGGCCAGTAACTGGTTATTTTGTAGACATGTCAAATGGGTTTGTTTTCTGTGCCCTATTACCAAGTACAGCTGTTAACCAATTACTAAATCATAACTTGAAATTGTATGAAATTTCCATCTGTGTATTTTTTGATCTTCTGGGTTCCCCAGGGCACTTTCTGTTGTAGTATTTCCCTCAGCGTAGATTCAAGGGAGCTCATTTCTGCAGGTGATAACTTGCATGCATCTTTTTGCAGCGGATGACATGGGCTTGGGGAAGACCCTAACAATGATTGCTCTCATTCTGGCCCAGAAGCAGCTGAAGACAGAAAAAAGAAAGGAGACGTTAGAAATATGGTTATCCAAAAATGGTACAGAATTACTCCCATCCTACAGCACATACATTATGATGAAGTGCCACTGAAATGCCTATAGCATTACAGGTTAAGGGGTTATAGAACAATATACTATCTGTGCTCACTTTCCTTCTTCAGGAAACTTCTATTTGGCTAAATTTTACTGTACTTCCTTGCATGGCCTTTCTCTTGATCAGGGTCATTTTTGTCTTCCATTGGATGTGTAGGGTTTTCCAATTCATTACCTTATATTGTTTGGGGATTTTTTTTCCCACTGTTTTCCCGAAATAGTTAAAGCCAGCATATGCTGGGTTTGCAAAAGGTTTCATTTTTTAAAATATATGCTAATATATAAAATATAAAATAATAGTTTTTCATAAGGACTTAAAATAGCTACTATTCACCACCCTGTGATTAATCTTTTTTTCTTTCCAACACTCTCCCAAAGTTTACTTTTATCTTGTCCACAGACACTGGGGATATTAGTACTTTTTTAAGGAGTATTGCTTCTGTGTCTACAGTCTGTACTGTCTGTATTCTCATGGAACTGGTTGGACACTCTTCTCAGTTGTGAATTTCCAAAAATTCTGTCTTTGTTCTAGTCTAATGTGAAGACATTGAAACCTGTCTGCAATATTTTCTTTTAGACTGCACTGTTGTCCCTTCCCATGGCACTTTAGTCATTTGTCCTGCATCCTTGATCCATCACTGGAAGAAAGAGATTGAGAGACACGTGGACTTTGGCAAACTGAGGGTCTATTTGTACCACGGGCCAAATCGAGATAAGCATGCAGAGGTGTAAGTGCTAAACCATAAATATGACCAAGAAAAGCAAAATACTATGTAGCAAGAGATTGTGTTTATCAAAATTGAAATTCAGTGGATGTAGAATGATGAGAGAACATGGGGTATTGAGATGTGGAAGGTCTAGAAAGTCAGGCTGACGTGTGCTGTCAAGGTGTATTTAGTAAAACATTTATGGCCTTTGCCTGTGGTTCTGGTGGAGGCTATTGCTGCTTCTGATAACAAAAAAATAGGTCTTTATTCTGTAAAATATCTCTTGCTTGCAAAGATTGTCAGTGCCAGTTTCTTCCATGCTTGTGCTTTGTTGTTGTACTTTCTATCAGCTGTACATATAGATGAGTGTGTTTTCTAGACCTCCTCAGGCCATGCTGAGCAGTATTCCTGGATGCCAGGCTCTCAGCAGGGCTCATGCCATGTGGTGTGCATTTTGGTCAATGGGCTTTTATTGTCATCTTGAGCTTGATGTGTCTGCTTCCAGTATCCATTAAATGGGGACAGTGCATCCTTCCTGTTTGACTGCAATAAAGCTCAGTTTTCTGTAAAACTCAGCATTTTAGCTCGTGTAGTGCTGCGTAGTTCTTAAATGCATTCCTCAGCATGTCTTTAGTCTCTCTTGCAAAGTGAATTCCTTATTTGTTCTTGCTCCTGATTACTACTTTCTCTTCATTCAGGCTTTCTGGATATGATGTTGTTGTCACAACCTACAGCCTTCTCTCCAAGGAGATTCCCACAAGCAAAGAGGAGGGGGAAGTCCCTGCTCAGGACCATGGTGTGGAGGTGAGAGCCAAAATGGGGAATTGCCTTAAGGTTTTGTTCTGAGGTGTTGCAAACCATTTTTGTTTGAAGTAGCACCTTATGTGTGATACAGTGAGCAGCAGCTTGATTTTTTTTTTTTTTTTTAAATAAGCCCCTGTGGATTATTTTTGTAAAAGCAAAATGATGAAAGTGCTGTGAGGTGCAGCAAGAACAGATATATTCACAAGATATCTGTTCTGTAGGATTATAGAATATGCTACATTGAATAGAGTTGAAATATCTTAAGAAGTAATTTTAAGAATGGAATGGTGAATCTCATTCTCCTTTTGAGGTGAAGGACCAGTAGAATCTGCCCTTTGATTTTTTTTGTTGCTCGAAGCACTAATGTCACTCTAAATTACCAGAAACCTGTTGTGCTCAGGCTCTGGGTCAGTCTGACCTGAGACTGAGGCAGCTTCCATGCTGCTTTAAATATTGACAGCAATGTGCTGGCTGGGCTATAAAAATAATGATGTGATTGCCAAGTGCTGATTGAAATGACTACACAGTGTAGAGGAAGTCCCTTGCTGTCTTCTACCTCTTTGCACAGCTCTAGAATTTCTGGACTTTCCTAAAACTTGTAGGTTGCATCTATAAAATTTTGGGAGATGAGAATAATTATATGTGGTCCTTCATCTCAGCATAGCAAAACTTTGATATGACACACCTTTTGAAGGAAGAACATGACATAATAAAATGTTAAAAGCAAGAAAACGAGCAAAATACTAGAAATTGTTAGAGATCAGGCAAATAAGGTAGCTTTTGGCTTATAAACTTTAAATGTGGAAGCTTTAAAGAGATGATTTTTGGAGATTGTTTCTTACATGACAGTAAGAGCACAAACTGCTGCTGACTGACATCAAGACTTCTTGCTGGAAAAATGTGTTTGCTTGTGGCCCCTTGGAGAACCTAGGTTTTGCTTCAGATTATAATCTGCTTTTTCTTTCAGAGTGGATCATCTCCCTGTTCCCCTCTGCTCAGGGTAGCTTGGGCTCGAATTATATTGGATGAAGCTCACAATATTAAAAACCCACGGGTTCAGACCTCTATAGCTGTGTGCAAACTGAGAGCCAGTGCCAGATGGGCTGTCACTGGGACGCCGATACAGAATAACTTGCTGGACATGTACTCTCTCTTGAGGTGAGCTGCCTGCATGGACAGGGATCCAGTCCTAGCAGTTCTTCTCTGATGAAGTGCTGAAGTTGTTTCTAAGTTTGAGATTTCTCTAAGATATGTGGAGAAGTAGGATTAGTTACATTAATGCTTAGCACTGGATTTCAAAGGCTGTGATTGAGGCATTGCACAAGGCTGACCGTGTGTCTGCTGTTGCATTTAGCTTTTCTGCCTTCATGGAGAACAAATTACCTTGGATCTCCTTTGTCTACAGGATGAGTATGCACAAAACCAATTTTAATGAACAGAGGTTTTATGAGTTAATCCCTGTTGTTACCAGGGCAGGCTGAGAGGACTTTCTTGGAGTGTTGTGCTACAAGGGCATTGAAGGAAAGGTTGAAAACTTTGGATTTTCTGAACAATGATAAACAGGTTCTCCTCATTGCTGAGGGGGGGGGAAGGTTACAAATGGTGTTGGAGAACCGGAGAGAGCTTGCATTTGAAATTAATTTTGATAATTGAAATTAATTGTCAAGTAAGAAGTTTGCTATTTTGAAATAACAGATGCTTTTTGGCAAGTGCCTCCGCATCTTGGTGTCCTTTGTTTGCTGATGATACTTGAAACATAACGGGCTAAGAGGAATCAGAATCAGAAACAGGTGCTTACAGTATTAGTGATAGTAGGACATCTAAGTAAACAAGTTATCACCACCATTACACTGGAAATGTTTTACTGCTCCTTGGTCGTGCAGTTACGGCATTTGGAAATAGTTTGTTTTGGTAGCAAGGAATTTGGTTTTGGTCACTCCAGAATAAGTAAAGAACTCTTCTTCCCTTGGTATGATATCTCCTTCCTTCCTGTCACAGGTTTCTACGTTGCTCTCCTTTTGATGAATACAGAGTGTGGAAGTACCAGGTAGATAACAACACAAGGAAAGGAGGGGAGAGGCTAAGCCTCTTAACCAGGAGCCTCTTACTGCAGAGAACTAAGGACCAGCTGGATTTGGCTGGCAAGCCCCTGGTAAGAACTCCACCCTCCAAAACTATACCATCATTCCATTGTTTTCCTTGCAGTAGACAGTTAGTTATTTACATGCAAAAATTTATTAATGGGTGGGGCTTCTTATCTGCTGCAGTCTCTTGAGCAAGAGAAGCAGATGCCTGTGGGATGCTTTGTTTGCTTACCAGAAAACAGAATTAAAGAGAATAATTAAACCTTTCAGTTATAAACCATGCAGACAAAAATATGCCAAGTAGTTGCACGTAGATGGCCACTTAATGGAAGGTTAGTCTAGGTCACTGGACTAGCCTAGATCTCTGAGAACCCAAGTTGCCACATGTCAAATGGACCTGGTCTGTTGGAGCATTGGCTTTCTGCATTGCTTTTTACAGTCTGTTGAATGGAGTATTAGGTCATAGGTGTGTCTTAAGCCTTTAAAAGGTATAGTTTTGGTGTACTGTCTGATTTTGAATGAGAAATAAGCTACTTTAACAACGCAAAAATTAATCCCTCTATGGTAGTTGTTGAGCAGCTCATATGTAGTAGCTCATACCTCTTGTTATTGGATGAGCTGGAATAAAGATTTTATTGTGAATGTTAACCAGGGTCCATGGAGTTCTGTGAGTGTCTGTGTTTTGTCATAACTGCATTAATACATACAGCTTTAGTGAATAAACAGCTGTCTTCTGAGACTTAGAGTACTGTGTTAAATCTTGGATTGCTGGTGTTGTTTGTGATGCTGTCTAAGACTTTCACACTACATACATCTGATCCCTGTGAGTTTTCACTTCAGGTATCTCTGCCCCAGCGTAGCACACGCTTGCACCAGTTAAAACTTACAGCAGAGGAGCAATCTGTGTACAATGTGCTCTTTGCAAGATCCAGGTATGAACGTGGGTAGAGATATGGTATTTTGTGGATTTGTTTCTTACTGACATGGAAATCAGAAGAGAAATTCACTTCAGATGAGGAGAACTTTTGGAGAAACTCCTGTAAATCTTTTTCCCTTCTGATTTATCTATCTAGTGTGTTTGAAAATGCATTGCTTGTTTGGGTAGTAGGCAAAACTGATTAATTTCTCCCATATGTTCTTGCCTTGTATGAACTTTGTGTTCTAGCCTTACACTTAATCTCACTGATTTCAAGACTGCAAAGACTTGGAATTGCAGCAAGTAGTTCTTAAATGACAGTGTCTGAGCACCTGTAAAGGAGAGAATTATCATCTTTGCTCTGTGATTCTTGTACAATTAGAAATTATGCTGGCCTCTCCAGATAGCTGTAATGCAAGCCAGCATCACTTTGTGTTGTCCTAGGCTCTTTCAGCAGTCTCATTGTAAAGAAATTTTCCTTCCTTTTAAATATACATTTAAAGGTGTTCTCATGTTCAAAAAGCAGACTTGCTTTCTCTTGTGATTTCCAAAATGCATCTTTGGTTTTGATCATACTCAAGTTAAACAAAACTGGGATTTTTTTTGTGATTGTTTTGTGACTGGATGATTAATGAAACCTTCCTTACCTTAATGCATCATCAGCTTGCTAAGCTCAAGTCCCTCTTGCCTTTTTTCTTGCTATGAATCCCAGTCTTTGTCTTGTTTTTATAGGTCAACACTACAATCCTACCTAAAGAGACAAGAGCAGAAAAATGAAGGCAGAGAGTATGATTGTGGTAACCCCTTTGAGAAAGGTTTGAGCATGCCCTCCCCTGAAAACATTTGCAAAAGTGGCTTTTAAGTGCACAGTTTAGAAGGGGGAACAGACCTGGGGTCAGAAATTCTTCAGAAGATGCTCCCCTCATATTACAAAGACTTACCTTAGTATTCTAAAACTGTATTCTCATTGTTGTGGCTCTGGGAAAATATCTTAACCCTTCTGGGTCTAATATTTCCTTTGAAATAAAGGTCTAGTTGCTCAGATAACATATGTCAGCATTATTGTATGATACTCTGACTTGTGTTGTTTTCTTTTTTTCTTTTTTTAATTAAAGTGGAGGTTGATGGGTTCCTATGTTAAATCAGGTATTTGCTTGCCTGTTCGTTCTTGATTTCTCTTCATGAACCTCTTCCTGGAGGTGAATGGGCAGTACTTGGAAACACCTCCAAGAGCTCTTGATGTTTTGTCTTCCTTCTTTAACAGTTGCACAAGATTTTGGAGTCAGTCAAAAGGAATTTCTAGCAGGCTCACAAAGTGCCTCCCAGGTCTCAAGTACTGTCCATGTCTTAGCCATGCTCTTGAGGCTCCGTCAGTGCTGCTGCCATCTCTCCTTACTGAAAATGGTATTTGCATTGTAGTGATGTGGGGGGATTTCTGGGGGTTTTTTGAGTGTTTATGCAAGTTAACAGACTTGATAACACCTTTGTTTCTCTTAGCTATGAGAGTATGAACAGAGTCAATTTAAGGACTCTGTTTTAAAGCCCAAGATGTTTTAGATGGGCTTACCTTCTACTGAAGTGTTCCCCAGCATGATTTATATGGGGAGCCCTGCCTTTGGAAATAGCTTTATTCAGATAAAAAGGGAACTAGAGTTTTAATGGTAAAGAAGTCTTCATTTTAACCTAGCCTTAAAAAGTGCAAAAATGTAGCCTGTTCCAAGGGCTTGTATATTGGAGAGCTTTGTGAGTGCTTTGAGGTTGCCTTCTATGAAGCAGATTAATCTTTCAGGAGTTCTTGGCTCGGAACAAAAAATATATATATGTATATAATATATATAGCTGATATATATATCAGCTCTAGAGAAAGTTCAGCTATTAGGGGAACAGGCAGGAATTTATGTTCTAATATCTGTCATCCTGCAGTTGTTAAATGCTGTGGGGGAGACTGAGGAGACTGGACCACAGGAAATAGCTATGCTCACATGCTTGCCATACACTGCCCCTTTTGGGGCAGAAAAAAGGTCCAAAGGGAATGTTTGATCCAGTAGTGTTTCTTAATTGTTCTTTATTCATATTGCATAGCATCCTCAAACCCAGCGTCCTCAGCAGATACTGTGCTGGCTGGATCAGTACTGAGTTTGATCTCAGGCTTGACTGTGATCCATTCATATTTTGCATTCTTTCCACAGGCTCTGGATCAAGTTAACTTGAACAGTGAAGGCCTTGCACTCTCCATTGAGGAGCAACTTGGTGCTCTGACACTGTCTGAGCTCCAGACTCCTGGTTCCAAATCAACAGTCTACCTCAATGACACAGCTTTTCAAACAGATATCTTTGACATCACCAGGGAGAGCACCAAGGTATTCTGGTTGTGGCATTTTTACCTTCCTTGAGAAGCTTGGATTTCAGCACTTTGCCTCTTAAATGGCTTATGAATTGTCATACCTTGGTAATTGCAGATCAGGCTAAGTTGCCAGTTGAAATGAAATGAAATGAGTAGGTTGATAGCCTGCTGAACCCCTTTGGGAAGGCTCCAACTTCTCACATACTGAGGAGTATTTCTAGTAAAGCTGTGAGAATGTGACTGCTGGAAAACTGTAAGTGAAAATCTTATCCAGTAGATTCCCAGAAGCTCACAAGAGCTTGCATGTGAGATCATGGTGCTTGTGATGAGCTAGAAAAAAGGGATGGCAACAAGAAGTTGCAATAAATGGTTGCAATAACTTCTCACAGGAAGGTTGGAATCTGTAAGACAGGCTTGTATGATTTGATTTCCTGGCCCTATTGTCTGTGGTGAGAGTGTTCTTACCAATGACTATTAAAATCTTTTCAAACTCTAAGCACAGAAGAAATTCCAGTTGGAAAGCTATTCTCATCACTTTCTACTTTTAATAAAGAATATCCAAGCATGAACTGGATTATGAGAGCAAGCAGACTAATGTTTTGGATCTTTTTACCTGCAGATAACTCAACTTTTGGCCGAATTGAAAACTATTCAGAGTCACTCAGAGCCTCAGAAAAGGTTAGCAAGCATGTCCTTTTCTTTAGTCATAGTGATTGAGAGAAGCACACTGTTTCTTGGCAACAGCAGAAATAGCTTAAAATAATTGAATACAAATCTCATGGTATGGTAAAATCGTGACAGTACTGCAGTAGTTGAACACAAGTGTTGAGGAAAAAAAGTCTTAGACAAAAGAGGGGAGTTTAAGATACAGGTAAGTGTAAAGATAAGGGAACATGTGAGAAATCTCAGGCCTTGAGGCCCAGGAAGACTATTCTCCAGAAACAGGATTGGGAATAATTTAGTTGTAATGAGAAGTATTTACCTACCCCACAACCCAAAAAAAGTGGAGGACTAAAGTAGAGAATAAAACTGAACCTGTTAGGGATAAAGGAATGCATTGATCAGAGGACTTACAGAAAGCTTTTTTCCAGTCTTTTCCAAAAATCATTCCCATCATAAGAATGGGAGTACCAACTTTGCCTTTGTTCCCTTTCAAGAAGCTATCAAACAAGTTTCTGCCTCACTAGCTCAAGAAATTGAGGAGTGAAAGGCTAGAGTGTATCTAAATTTGGTGTCGCTATTGATTTTTTGCAGAAAAAGCTGTGTTGTGACTCACATTTGTGGTTGGGAGGTGGATTTTGGTAAAGTCCAAAAACAGAGGTGAAAGTTATGGAATTATTTTATGTGACATTTATTGGGTATTAGCCTTCCACAGCAAGTTCTACCACTACACCTCTATTTCTGAATTGGGAAGGGGCTCAGCTCCAGTTTGCAGTGGGGACAGGTGCCTGAATTGTTGTAGCCCCTTGGGTGAGACACTGCAATGACCAAACTGTTCCAGTACAGAGAGCTGTTTGTGAACTCCCTGTTCTCTCTCTCCAGCGTGGTTGTCTCTCAGTGGACGAGCATGCTCAAAGTTGTGGCTGTGCACCTGGAGCGCCTGGGGCTGAAGTGTGCCACAGTGGATGGCTCTGTCAATCCCAAACAGAGGATGGATGTGGTGGAGGAGTTCAATAACAATCCTGAAGGGCCTCAGGTATGCATTCAGGGCGGGGAAACAGTCCCCTAGCACTGCTGTGAGCAGCTGTGATGTCTGACTTTGTGACTGCAAACAGTTTCCTTAATGCTCTTTTGGCTTTTGAAGGTAATGTTGGTATCGTTGCTGGCTGGAGGCGTTGGCCTGAACTTGACTGGAGGAAACCATCTCTTTCTCCTTGACATGCACTGGTAAAGGGAAATACAAATTCCATCTTGGAGAGGATATGTAGGGCATGCTGCTTGCTGTTTCACTGCATGTATTGTAATGTCTGATGCTACTGTTTTAGAGGGAGGTGTTTAGCTTATAGTAGGGGTTAGTGGCTAGTTGGGGAAAAGTGTTTTTTTACTATGGCCTTCATCCAAGATACTGATTTGTCCATCCAGTGCTCACTGCCCTGAAATACAGTTCTGTAGGGGCAAGAAAAAATAGAGGAATATAACAGCAATCCAAAGAAGCAGGTATGCAGCTCTATCACAGAAGGCTACCAGGGACTTGGCAGTCCATGGCTTAATTTCTTGCAGTTATGGAAATGGTGCAGTAATGCCTACAGGCAATTTGGCTTGAAACAAATCAATGGTGTTGAGCATACTCAGTAACTGTGCACAGCTAGAGTACCTTTGGGTTTTACATATGAAAAGAGTATGTGCAAGCTCCTGATATTTGCTTTGTCTCATCAAAGTCAGAATTTCAGGTTTTTAAAACTAAACGTTACTCATGAGAACTTAAGAAGCAAACTAATGTGCCTCATGCAAAACCAGCTGCTGAGTAGTTACATTAAGGAGATGCTTCTATAATATAGAAGTTACACCAGCAAGTATTCCCTGTAACTTTGTCAGATAGATTTACTCTTATTTAAATATTCCTGAGTTGATGGTCTCTTTGACTGGGATTTGCCTTTTTGCTTTGCTCTTTTTCCTCACCACGTACTCTCAGCTTTCTCTGAGTAACAAGTGTTGGCCAGACTTGGGGCTGCATGGACCAGTGGTCTCAGTCACACAGTTGGCTTTGTGTGATGGCAGGAAAATGAAGAAACTTTTATTTTTTTAAACTACCTTGTAGGAATCCTGCTCTGGAGGACCAGGCATGTGACCGCATCTACCGTGTGGGGCAGCAGAAGGATGTTGTGATACACAGGTCAGCATTTTAATTAACAGAATGAGGAGCTGCTGCTTATATACTGTCTGGCTTCAGTCAGTGAGACAAGACCTTGGTTTCTCTATTTAGAGCTAGACACAAGGTCTGACAGTGGCATTGAGTTTTGGGCACCGAGATAAAAATGTTTTCATGTGTTCTGTGTGGCACTTGCATGCATGTTGCTGTCCTGACAGCTAGCAGAGGTTTGTTTTTCAGCCTATGGGATATTGGGAATGTCTTGTTCATTCCTGAGAACAGTTTGGGCACCAAATGATTTCTCTTAATTGAGTGGAGTTTTTTTCACTGTGATCCCTAAGCCTGAACCTTTCTAGCATCACTAATAAAAATCACATAAAGCACTTCTAATAAGTGGTAAAGTTGACTTTTAGAAAAAGTATTTGTAAGTAGTGAAAGAAATGTACAGCACATTCCAAGACTGGAATCTAAAATGTTATTTTGGGTACAATTTTTGTGTGTAATAGGTGCCATCAGTTATCAGGCAATAATCAAGCACAGGATTTTGTCACGGAATTACTGTTACTTCAGATGACCAAAATTGAGACCTGAAGTTCATCAGACTTATAATTAAAATGTTCTCATGGTTGGATATGAGGACAGCTGGTTTCTGTTCAGAGGTTGTCTCGGTTTGAGACAAATTGGGAGGAAAAGTATTTTGTCAGTCACATAATTGACTAATTATTAATTTCTAAGTAAGATGAATCTCTTGAAATTTACTGGGGAAGTGTTTATATAACACTGACACCTTTTTCATAGTACTTGAGATCATGTGGCTTTGTTTTGTCTTTTTAATTTTTCTTTTAGGTTTGTCTGTGAAGGAACAGTAGAAGAAAAGATCCTGCAACTCCAGAAGAAAAAGAAAGGCCTTGCCCAGCAGGTTCTATCAGGCAAAGGAGAGACCTTCAGTAAGCTCACTCTGGCTGACCTCAAAATTCTCTTTGGCATCTAATTATCATTTGCAATACCCAACAGAAAATAATTTATACCTGCTGTAACTGAGTAACTGCAGATTTCAACATTTATTTTGAACAAACAACTACATTTTTGTAACTGCTCTGGGAAGTTATCAACTTCAATAACTAGTTTCAATATTGATCATGTATCCAAAGGTTAATAAAGTTTTTAGTTAAGCCGTTGTTTTGAAACAAAAATGGTTCTTGGTTTTATGTGAATGCCTTCTAGTTAGAAAACTTTCCTTTTCAAGACAGGAGATGTACAGGCATATGTGAAACAAGAACAAGGGAGACAAACATGAGGTAGGGAAGTTCAGAGGTTGTGTAGTGAGGTTGTATGGGCAGGAAGAAAGCAAAAAGATTGAGCACAATTCTATCGGAAGATTATATATTAATTTCAGAATTGTAAGTAACAAAATTAAGGAAGGACTTAGAGGAATACTTCACTTTCTCCTTTGTTCTTGAGGAGGACTTTCTTTACCCTGCTCAAAATATTTACTGAAGCAGGGACTTAGATTTCTATTGTTTCTATGAAACAGAACCTGAGTTCCTAATCGTGGGGATTTTTTTTCTGAGTCTTAGTTTTGAGGAAATTCTGAAGTTGAAGGTCTAGTGCCTAACTTTAGCTGCCATCAGTGAACTCGCAAATTTCTGTTGTGAGTGTGTGGTTTTGGTATTCAAATTATTTTAAAGGAATAGTGACTTCAATTGCAGTTATCTACAGAACTGAGCAAAACTGTGTCTCTAATGTTAGTTCATTTCTCTCGACTGCTCTAATGTAAGCAGGTCTTTGTAACCTAAAAATCTTCTGCCTCGTGTGGAGGGTTGAAAGCAGCCTTCACCTGTGGTCACTGAGTGTGTGACAGAACAGCGGTTCCTGCTGTGGAGTGGTGTTCAGGGTCGTCTGTCGGGGGCGTTTATACAGTGCCTGGGGTTGTCCTGGCACGGCTCTGCCGCTGCCCCATCCGTTCAGGTGCCATAAACAAGGCACACATTCCATGCATGGTCGGGGCAGCTCCGGGATGCGGCGGCGGCGGAGCTGAATTGGGCCGACGGAGGCCTTTACCCCCAACGGTCAGGATGGCCGAGCGGTCTAAGGCGCTGCGTTCAGGTCGCAGTCTCCCCTGGAGGCGTGGGTTCGAATCCCACTCCTGACATAGGTTTTGTTTTTTTTTTTCTCTCCCTGTGCCCAGTGCGCTGCTGTTTTCATGCATGATGCCGCCAAACGCGGGTGGGCGCGGCCGGCCATCCTTGCACCGCCGTGGGTGGGCGAGCGGAGGCGGGAAGTGCGCCAGGGTCACGCGCGGTGCCTACGCATTTGCGCTTCCGTTCGGTGCAGGCGATACCGACAAAATCGGTTCGGACGGGATCCGCGGCCGCGCGTGTCGCGGTCAGCACCACTCTGGCCTGCAGTCCAGAGAGGGTCTCTACATGGGCCGGTTAGCTCAGTTGGTTAGAGCGTGGTGCTAATAACGCCAAGGTCGCGGGTTCGATCCCCGTACGGGCCACTCTCCTTTTGTGCTTCCCCCTTTTTGGGGGCCGCTGGTGCGGCTCTTTCCCGCACTCCTTGGGCCGATCAGCTAAAGGGGGTCAGAACCCCGCCCTTTGGGAGGCGCCCACACCTTGCCTAGGGGTAACAGCCGGAAAAAAGGGGCCGCGCCTGGAGTCCCGATTTGATGAGCCGGGAGTGTTTCTTGGGCGGGGCGGCGTTCAGGCGGATATGAGGAAACGAGGGGCTAAAGGAAAGGCGTTGTCCTGGGCTGATCTGTCACGGGCGGTGCCTGCAGGAGGGCCCGATTTTCTGTATGAAACAGACGCCAGTCCGCGCTGGAGAACGCTCCCCGAGGGGGCGGCAACTGGGTACAGGGGGTACCCCTCAGTCTCTGCGGAGAAAATGATGAAAACGATCAGCGCCCTGCCCAGCTTATCCCGTTACCTAGACTGACGCGAACCACTCACGCCACGCTGGGCTGCTGCGGGAACGGGAAGAGCGGGAAGAAGCCCGGCCAGGGAACAGCGGCGGTTCCCTCAAAATAAACCTCCTGGAAGGCCGGGGATAGGGCAGGCACCGCTGGGATTCGAACCCAGGATCTCCTGTTTACTAGACAGGCGCTTTAACCAGCTAAGCCACGGCGCCGGGCGGGCCGCGGGCAGCTCCGCCTTCCCCTGCCCTAAAGGGCGGGGGGACTCGCGGGGGCATCCCCTCCCTGCTGGAGCGTGCCCGCTCTGAGCTGGGGTTCTCGGGTAGTGGCTCCGAATTCTCTCATTTTCTTTATTTCTTTCAGGTGAAAATTTTTGTCGTGTCAAAAAGAAAAAAAAAAAAACAACAAAATAAAAAGCAAAAGGCTAACAGCGAGCGGAATTGGGACACCGGAGATGGAACATTCAGGAGTAAAAGCAGCTCCTCGTAGTCGGCAGGATTCGAACCTGCGCGGGAGGATCCCAATGGATTTCTAGTCCATCGCCTTAACCACTCGGCCACGACTACCGGATACACACCTCTTTTGGTTTTCCGGCTTTCCTCGCCCAGCCGGCTGCTCCGCCCCCTCACCTTTTCCAGCGTTTCCTTCTGGCGCGTTCCTGACTCGGCCCCCCGAAGGGCGCCTGGGTTTGCGCGCGGGTCCTCGAGGGGCCGCGCAGGCGCCGCGAGCAGGGACGGGCAGAGGCAGTTGATACCGTGTGTATTCCCGCCGCAGGACTACGCCTACGGTGGGCCGGTTAGCTCAGTTGGTTAGAGCGTGGTGCTAATAACGCCAAGGTCGCGGGTTCGATCCCCGTACGGGCCAGTAGGCTTTTTTAGGTGCTGGGTGGTTTTTTTTTGTTGTTGTTGTGTTTTGTTTTTCTCGTTTATTTTCGTCTTGCCATTTTAGCGTTCTCGGTCTCAAACCACTGACGTCCAGGGACGGGTCTCGGGCGTACTTACCCCGCAGCCGGGGCCAGGAGGACCAAAGTCGCCTCGCCCCGTCACGGCTAAAGCGCTCGCACATAGCAACGGCAGCAGGGAGAAAGAAAGAAAAGGAAAAAAAAAAAAGCAAAAAAAAAAAAGCATCTTCCTGCCGTGACTCGGATTCGAACCGAGGTTGCTGCGGCCACAACGCAGAGTACTGACCACTATACGATCACGGCCACCCAACGCCCGGCGCCACCGCCGCGGACGTCGCCTTCCTTCTCCGCCGCATTCCTCCAGCCATGTTTCCCGTGGTAAGGAAACTGATGGAAGTTTCATCGAGGAAAAATAAAGCGGCGATGGCGCAGCAAAATGGCAAAGCTGCCTCCCCGTCGGGGAATCAAACCCCGGTCTCCCGCGTGACAGGCGGGGATACTAACCACTATACTAACGAGGAGTGCGTTGCAGGTTTTCCGCCCGGTGTCGGGCCGGAAGGCAGGAAGCGCCTGAGGGAAATGGCGGTGGCCCGGGCGCCCTCAGGGAGCCGCCCGCACTGCCGTGCCCGAGCGGGCACAAATGAAGATTCCCCAAGGCTTCCGTAACCACCTGCGGCCCGAGACCTCCTGCGTTTTCCTCATTCTGAGCTTGAACTGGAGGTTTACGGTGAGTCCCGACTCACGGAGCGGATTTGAAGAGTGTGACTGACATGGAAACCCAGCCCTTGGCCCCGAAATCCATCAACCTGTTGTCTGCCCTCTGAGAGGCGTGGTTTGCTGGGTGGTTTACGTTCAGAATTTTCAGATGGTCGCCAACGGGTAGTTGGGTTTTCCTTGCTAAAAAGGCAGCAAAGTTGGCACTGTGTAATCGGTTTCAGCAACAAAAAAAGGGGGGGGGGGGAACGACAATATAAAATACTATTTCCTCTAGCGTTGCACTGTCTGGAGGGGATCAGGAACCCCCAAAAAGCTGTCATCAGGAACTGGCGTTTTTAAGGCAAGTTTGTAACCAGTTTCTGCCGTGTACATGCGTCATTTTGCTCCACCTGCCGCCGACAGCGTCGGGATAAACGAAACACTATGTTTTAGTATTAAAAATTAGGCACTGCTTTATTCACAGCACCGGCGTGCATGAGTACAGCTCTGCCTAGATGCAGGGCCACTTTCAAAACTTTTCACTTATTTATACATTTTTATCAAACTAAGAATTAATGTCCATTGGTTATAAACATTTTTTCATTAAATAATACTCTGTATCCTGTTGGTTATTGATTTCTCATGATGCACATTTTCAGTCTTTTTACTGTCTTTTTCCCTGATAAGGCGTTTCCAGCACAAATGCTGAATTGTGTTTGTTAGTTTCTTAAACTTCTGGTTTTTGCAGCATGTCCTAGGAGGCTGTAAATTCTGCATCCCAGGTGTCCAGTTATCAGCAATACCTCTCTCCCCTAGGCTTTGTTCACTGAAGCTCATCAGGGTTAGTTTAGCAAAACTTAAAAAAGTTTCAGTGCTTTTTCCCAACCAATTCTAATGATAGTAGTCTGTAAAAAAAAAATAAAATGGCTGCTTGCTGGCTAAAGTGGAAAATCGCACTGTTTATGAGTAGTACTATGCTTGATTGATGTAGTAGTACAATGATTGATTAAAAACAATTAATTAGAAAGCTAATTAAAACCATTATATGGTGGAAGAGTTCTTGGCTAAACAGAAGTTCAAAAATTAGTTTTATGAACATGATTGCTTACCTGCAATGTACCATAATTAAGAGGGGGAAAATAAATGTCCATCTTATCCTTTACTCCCTCATTCCTGGACTAGATATGCTTTTGTGATATTACAAATTTAGGTTATATTGGTTTTTTTGGACCAATTGTTTTTCCTGGGAAAGATGTTGAAAGTATTAAATTTGACTCCTTGGGGAAGGGAAAAGGAAACACATTTCAAACATTTAATTCTAAGTATTGCATTTAGACAAACATCTGTCATCAAAGATTCACCATGTACATTTCTGATGCAACAGTTGACAAGGCAATTACTTATTTCTTACTCCAGAAAAGAAAAACAATTTCAAACTCTCCCTAGGCATCCTTCTTATCCTAAAAGACTGGAAAATGTATTTGGAAATGTATTTTGAAGTCTAATGACACAATAGCTATATATTATAGGAGCAAAACAAACTGTGCGTCTTGCATTTTTAAAATAGTGAAATAGTTATTTCATAATTTTCTTAGAAAGTGGTATTTTAAAGGACTGAGTGACCAATAAATTAGGAATAGCCTGAAAAAAATAATCAGGGTTGGTAATAATATGAGTTAGGGCTGCAATCCCTTCTCTTGCAGAAAGACACGATGATTCATTGCAGTTGCATTGTAGCTTCTGGCTCCCTACACACAAATTTGCAGTTGTTCTTTCTTTATGAGCAATCTCCTGCTCTGGAAAAGGTCTTATCCCAGTGGCTCTGAAATTATTTTATGGTAAGAGGTCTCACAACAGCAGAAACAAAAAGTAACCTTACAACCTCTCTCTTCTCTGACTCTTGTCTTTGTCATGATGCTTCTTGAGCTTGAAATTCTAACAAAATCCATTAGAAGTGTTTT